CGGAATAACCTTATTATTATACATCTTTTCCTACCAAGGATACATCATGGGAATGCCGAAATTTAAAAAGTTTAGAACAGTATGTAGTCCGGTTAAATTCTGGTGGCAGCCATGTTTGTTTTTATTATTGGAGGGCGCTTACGCGCGTAATAATTCCATATTTGGATTTCGCATTTCCTAATATGGTTGGGTGAAAATACCCCGTAAAATACCGCAAAATTACGGCACGCTGTAACCTATGGCGTTACGGTGACAGATGTATAATAATAGTATATATTAACCATTACATCCATTAAAACTGCTTCGTAATATAATTACAACATTTAGACAAATTTTGATGGATTGAATAATTGCTCTATTTTAATGTATTTGGCCTAAAATGATAATACGACTTCAATAATTGTTTTCTTATTGTATGGAATGCTACACACTCAAACATATAGTGACATTCATCACCAATATAACTGCCTGGGCATAAGATACATATTCTGTCATGAGTAGCAACATTTTGATAGCGAGCAGTCATAATAGGTAATCTATGATTACGGCATCGAAATTTACATGATTGGATACAGTGAGCTGGATCAAGACATAAGACGTATTGTGAATGAGAAAATTATTTTTTTATAATGTTATACACAAGCCATTTTTCACGCGTTTCAGAACTCCAATCTCGCAAGTAAATATCCAATAACCGTAATTTCATACTTTATTTAAACCATGTTCTATTCACGCATGTCACACTCAGCCAAACATTCGACATCTCAGACTTGTAAAGGATATCAACATGAAATATAACTCGTCCCAAATAATGTAAGATATCTTATCTTATATGAACCTGTTCATAAATTACAGGTGATAGGAAAGCGCCGACAAAGCTCTATGGTGAATCAGCATTTCTTAGATCGTTCGTAAGCGCAGAAGCCGAATATTATGTCTTTCATTGCAAATATATTCACTGCTAAATGCTTGAATCTGATTGGGTATCGGGGCTATGGGGTATAATATTATTGATTATGTGAACAGCGTCTGCGTCGTAAGAGTCTAGACATTATCAGTGGTGAAATACTTGAGTAGGAGGGTCCAAGATATCACGACTAATATGTCCGCACGATTACTCCATGCTGGTCAAGTGATTGATCATAGTAATGTCTGTTATTGCTGTAAAGGAAACGAAAGAAATTGCCATACAGATGTATTTGGTAAGCCATTAACAGACGTATCATGCATTCAATGTAGCCCACACTAAGGGCGCCCCTTCACATAACTTTGTTGAAACACAGAAAATGCATGTCAAATGAAATATCCAATATCGATGAAATTATCAATGTAGATATTGCTGGGCGGAGGGGGTACATGTCAATAATAAAATCTATAGTTAACGATCGAGTAGTAAAAGTGCTGAGATGTTTCATGTGTGGGGGTTGTAGTCAGGGATGTTTTGAAATACTGAACTGAATATTGTTTATATAACTTATTTGAACGTGCCCCTTGCATCGGTGTATGAACTGGTCTATACAACAAGTTCTCGTAACATTTATTTGTACATTGTCAGTCACCCATGAATATATATTGACGTTCTGTTATGAGCTTGGCCGCGCGGTAAACAGAACCTACACAAGAGGGAGAAAATACTTATTTGGAACCCCTTGACACGCACCACGATGTATTCATTTCTCGCAGGTCAAAATGTTACCTTGGCCACCACGCAATGGAGATTTTATTCGTATTTGGTCACTCATGAGCAGGAATGGAGATGGATTCTGGAGAGTTAAAGGCAAAATTAATGCAGAAAGCAATAAACAGTTTCGTGTTCGTGCTCAAGGGGAGTATGCCGACCAGAGTGAGTAGATTATCAAAATGTATTTACACGTAACCATGACAATCGCACATCAATGTACTTTATACT